CCAAATTTTATTAGAGTGACATCTCTCATTTGTAAGGAGCCGCTTAAAGCGAGAATTTCATATTTTCTAAGATAGTCAAAACATATTTATTTCTATGTCTTTTGCTCAATAGGTTGTCAACTCACTATTATACGATCATAGTTATCATTCACACACTTAAAAATGTTTCACACCGGAAATAATAACACAATTATCTCCTAATTACCGCCCTTGTTTTTCTATTCCATACCATGGAATAGCTATCTTCAAACGTTTGAATTTGAAGTTGAAAATGATATTTTTGCCAATTTCTCAGCTGGCAATAGTGAAGTATAGGATTAATAGGATTATTCTTTATCAAGGTAGGACTGTTTATATATAGCAGCGATTTTAAGGCTTTATTTTAATACATTTTAAAAATATAACTTCAAAATATGAAATTGTAGCTTTAAGTGCATGATTCCACTTACGAACGAACAATCCGAACCATTAGACAAAATTCGAAGTCCTAAAAAAAACGATATAGGCAAAATTGAGTAAAAAGGCAAAATAGTGTAATCAGCATATGGACTGTTCACCGTGTACAAAATACACCACAAACAGTGGTAACAGGTGTCCGGAAGAGTAAGCTTACCCTGCCTGGCGCCACACCCGCCATAGCTGCATACAAACTATTAGACGAAATCTCGGTAAAATAGGGTGATTGGCCAATGGACAATCGGTATGCAAAATGCACGTGATGAACAGTGTTAACGATGTAGTAGACGCAACTCAATTTGCGGTTAAATTGAAAATAGTCAATCGAGACTTTATTGATTGTCGTAACAAAGGTAGCAATGACAATCGTGACTACACTGATTTGCAAAGAACGATAACTCCACTCAGAATGGAATACTGTTACCGAGATTTTCAACAGATTCCCTTTTCACTATCTATTTAACTATTATAGCGAGATCTGTCAGCTCTTTATAATGCATGGAACTTCCCGACCTTTAACTAGGAGTTGACATCCCCCGCCGCGCCCTTGCTACATCACGGACTTAATTCGGATAAAAATTTGCAGACCTCTCAAAAAACCAAAGGTTACCCGCGCCTTAGTGCTCAATAACTTTCATTAAATTGTCTATTATTTAGATGTGGATTTTCTCCGGGTCCTCCAGTTTCCCCCCACTGTTAAAGACCCCTACGCCCAATCGAATCATTGACATGAAATTGAACCATATGTTAGTCCCGAAATGAGCTAGTTTGTGTCGAGTGGACCCTCTCTCTCTCTCTCTCTCTCTCCCTCTCTTATTGACCCAAGCTGGTTGTGATACTGGATGATATTATTTTGTTTTCAAACTATACACGTTGTTCTAAACCCGTACGCACTGTGTTGTAATTTAGGCATTAATCAATTCCATATGATCTGTGTTCAACCTAGTGGCCAACTCCATACATGATAATGACGTTGTGCTGTAAGACTCAATTCCTTAAAAGACGTTCCTGTCAGCTGTCCCTGTTGTTGAAAGGTATATAAGTTATATAAGACATGCAGAGGAGAGAGAAGGGGGAGAGAGAGCGACAAGCGGAGGGGAGCAGAGGAGAGCGAAGACCGGCGTATTCCCTCACTCGAGTTCAGCCGCCGCCGTGGCAGAAGCGCAGAATGGTTGTTTATTAATGTACCGTGTTATTGTTATTTTGTAAATGTAAATGTTTTTTATTTCATATTCCGCAAATTTATAAGTATTATTTGTTAAAATATTCCATTTATATGAATTGAGCATCTATGCAATATATTAATGATTAGTTCAATGAAATGAATATAACTTCGTATCTATCATATGAAATATTCTCATCAATTACTGTTTTTTAAGGAGAAGACGTTTATAAGTTGTATTGTACAATGAAATGTCGATGCAATAAAATAAGTTTAAACTAACTAATGTTATTGTTTCCTGGTGTAATTGATGTTCTGTTGTATTTGTGTTCCTGTTTAATTTATGAAGCTGTTTTATATTTATGTTCCTGATGTAAACAAATCATATATTTACTACGAAATTGATCTCTGTTATCACTACTAAAATAATGTCAGTGTTCAGTTGCTGCTGACGTGTCATTAAACACCATTACATCCAGTCATGTTTTGTATAAAACACAAGAAAGTTCGGGCAAAACATAGATACATATTTAAAGATTTCAATACAAATAATGCGAAACATAAATATGTATTTAAAGATTTTTATACGAATAATGCGAAACATAAATATATATTTAAAGATTTTTATACGAATAATGCGACGATTAAAGGCACCGAAGATCTCATAATTTTCTTATATTTCAAAAGACAAAAATAAAAAATAAAACTTTGTGATGAAATGGGGTTTAATGGTCTACTTTTCTACACGGAGTGGGCTATGTTGACGGACATACGCCGTACGGTGTGCTATGAGGGAAGTGTTTCCCGGGCAGCGGCGCTAAGGACTATTCTTATATCGAATTCGGGGGTTCTGTTACGTGCATGGCAATATATAAATAAGACCTCGTTTTTTGGTCCCCACCCGAACAATTATACGTTGTTTCTTTTCCGGCCAGCTGACCAACACAAGGGGGACAACTCCAGAAAATCCCGACCAACTGTCGAACACGGGACCGACAGGGTAGCGAGCCAACGCCTTACTCACTGAGCCACCGCACCCTACTTCATGGTGAATGGGATATGTAATACAATATCATTTGGGATCTAAATTTTAATATTGAATTTTGAATTCATATTTTAATTTATATTTTTCATTTGTAACTCATTTTGGACATGTGACAGATTAATTGTAAAATTTAATCTGCATCAGGTGTGGGGTGTTGACATAATATTATGTAAGATGCAATGGGTTGGCCAAACTTGTATACTCGGAGTGTCTATATGATATAAGATTTAGGCTTAACACGTATGGGGACATCTGTTTACGTAGATTCCCCTTTCATTGGAGACCAATAATATCGACAACCGTTAGTGTATTTTGTCAGTGAACCTTAAACCAGCACCAACATACATTATCCTGTGCATGACTTCTAAGATAATCTGAAGTGATCTTATTGCACAGACACATTGTATGTGTACTTAATTAGGTGGGGATTGTTGACTGTGTGGTCTAGAGACACCACCCCTCCTCTCTCTCTCTCTCTCTTTCTCTCTCTCTCTCTCTATCAATTATGTACAGCTGCATGTAACGGATACCATGTTTAGTTTCGTCAGTTCAGTTTCTGGACCTAGGCGTATTCATTTGTCTGGATACCGCTAAAGAGATAGGGAGGCGGCTGCTTACGGTTGCTAAAGGCTGTGTTCTAGCCATTAGTTACAGATAGGCGTATCCTCCTTACCATGTAACACCGTGTATCTATTATATTAAGAGATGGTGATATGTTTTGAGATATGTACACAGGGCCTCGGTTTTTCGTCCCCATCGAACAACTAGACACTGTCCGAGCCAGACCCCCCGTCCTGCACCCACTAACCACGCCGGACGTTCGGGGAACCTTCGCGACCAGTACCGGGATCTCCAAGGATATTTCGTGGTGTTGTCATCGAGCCATGAAATGACAAAAAAAGGGGAGACAAGAACTAACAAGGATATGTCCGCGATGACCTGGTCCAATGGCATTTAAAATAGACGCCTTATCGTATTATCAGCACTTAGAATTTCGTTTCGTTGTAAATTCTCCGACAATTCTATACTTTACCGCAGAATAAAAAAACCCCAAAAAAACAAACTAACGCGGGGAATAAAAGAATCTCGATGATCAATTCGCATTATTCCTATTTTTGGAGTAACCAGGCAAGCTTGAAGGAATTCCATAGGCTTGGTGCAAAAACACTGAACGCACGATCACCATAAGCTCTTGACGGTTTGGGTCGAAGTGGCTGATATAAAAGTTTCACACCGTCAGCACTACGAAGATTTCTCACTGGTGTAGCAACAGAAATCAGCTCAGTGGGATTAGAGTTGTGCAGGTGTTGTATGACGGATCAACTTGAAAATTATACAGATGACCTAAAACTGGACCCGAGCTTCAACTGGTAGCCAGAGAGGTTCCACCAATATGAGCGTCATATCTGCATGACGTTCTGAATGTGCTGCAATTTATGGAATTGGTAATCATATGAACCAAATAGTAAGCTATTACCATAATCCAACCTTGAACTCACAAGTGGACAAGCTTCTCAGTCGCGAGAGAGAGAGAGAGAGAGAGATGGGTTTAACGTCCCCTCGACACAATACTATGTCATTTCGGGGCTAACATATGGTTAAATTTTTTTTCAATAATTCTCTTGCGCGTATGGGTCTTCTTTAGCAGTGGGAGGAAACCGGTGGAACCGGAGAAAACCCACGAGGTTGGACAGGCGACCCTACTCTTTGTCACGTACAACCGGGGATTCGAAACCACGCCAGCTGACTCAATGACAGGCCTTATAATACAGCGCGCACATGCTAACCATTCGGCTATCCACCCCCACCCCCCCCCCCCTAACCGTGTCGAGGTCTGATCAAAGGCCTCCGAAGCTTGCCAATACACCATAGGGCAAACGACGCCACCCTGCACACATTAGTGGTATAAGTATCCATGGTTCACGTCGAATCCATCAACACCTCAAGATTCCACATGAAATCCCTAGCAGAGGCGTGTACCTGTCCAGTCCGCATCTATAACTCGGGGTGAAAGCCACAAAACTTCTTCCGTTTATCCACCGTTCAATGCGAGCAATAAGTATGCGTAGTTACTTATCCGGTGGGAGCAAACCGGAGTACCCGGAGAAAACCCAGCAGATTGAGGGGTCGCCCCTATCAAGCCATATACGCTCACACCGGGGATTACCTTATTTATATATTCAAGGCTGTAGAACAGTCGTCACTACAACCCGACTGACCATACATTATTTATTGTAACCAAACCTAGATGTTTATCGATTTATTAAAACTCTATACACACACACATATCATATAGTTCATTGATCACTTTCAGTACGCTACACATATATACAACTTGTATGCTCACCACAGTGTTCGAGACTATGGACCTGTATGCTTATCACAGTGTTCGAGACTGTGGACGACAGCTTTCAACGCGTGATCTCTCCACCAGCTGAGATATTGCGCAACTTATCCCTTAATCCGCTGGTGTCCTGACTTGCGACCCATTCTAGGCATACAGGTGTAAAACATATTAATGAAAAGTTACAACATAATAATCTAAGGATTAACGTGAGGTTATTCTATTAGGATTGATAATATTGTCGAAGCAACACGAAATGTCGGAAAGTGAGTATACAATTTTAAAATACCTGTTCTTAATTTCCGGTGCAATGTCTGTCTTCAAGCAGAGTGTTCCATTCAGTCCCATGCCTTTTCATGTCATTTAACAGGGGAGGGGGGGGGGGCGACTGGTGGGGAAGACGTGCGCGTTAGATCAGAAGGTCTGTCATTGAGTCAAGTAACGGGGTTTCGCTTGTACGTGACAATTGATAGGGTGGTCTATAAGACCTCGTTGTGTTTTTCCGGGTCCTCCGGTTTCCGCCCACTAACAAAGACACCTACGTACAAGCGAATTATCGAAATAAAGTTGAACCATTTGTTAAGCTCAAAATGACCTAGTTGGAGGGGAATGGGCGTTAAACCCCATCTCTCTCTCTCTCTCTCTCTCTCTCTCATGTATGTCCATATGAACATTTAAAACTGGTCTATGTCGAACAAGGCTCGCTTTATTATCAGATTTACATATAAACGATATAGTCCCCCTTTTTTATTGATGAACGAGGTGAAGCTAATTCATTCTACTGACAATAACAGGAGTAAATAATCTAAAAGTGCAAAAGACAGGGTTAAGCAGGACACGAGCCTTGTTTAACGCATGCTTTATAGAAACACAGTTTGTTACTTTTGGAAACTATAGCAACACAGTCTGTTACTGTTTGAAACTGTTTATCTACTTGTTTGGTGGATACGCGTTGTATTCACGACAAATAAAATCAATTATTGACAAAGAAATGATTGACGTGATATCTAGTGGCGTGCTGGGTCCTCCGACGTAGGATATGCACACCGAACTTAGGACACTTATTGTGTGGGGTAGGGAGGGGAGCGGCGACGGGAAATATTTGGGCCTGTTGCACATTCTAGAATTGATTTGACGTATATGTGAGCCAGGAAATATCATACAGTGACATTTGGTATGAGTAGACCAAGTCCCAAAGATTTGAACATGAACGTGAACATAACAGCCAAGAACTAAACGACCTACGGATAAAGAAAAATACAAGCATCAAATGCTTTATTCCAATCTGTGCAAAATTACTAATACTATAATTGAAGAGTGTATGCTGTATTTGAACACCGTGACATTGGTATCGTGGAGCAATGGAAATTATTGCAAATTGTAAAACTAAATTTAAATATTTTGAACTGCTGACATATTCATTTTCTGCAGAAATTTGTGCCAAACTCCCTCACATTTAGGTCCGGGAAAAGTTATTTTCAAGGGCGGTCCCGACTGGAAAAACATAATTTGACATATATATATATATATATATATATATTTTTAATTACTAAAAATTGATCTTTGTATTCAATCCGATGAGAAAAATGATGTATCAACGAAGTGCTGAAATAGTGAATCAAACTATGGTTTATTTTTCTCGGTGTCTTTTCCATAAGAGGTAACTCTTCCGAAATTCGAAGTGAACTTTTTCAGAAATGAGGGCACTTTTTCAGAAATGAGGGCACTTTTTTCGAAGAGAGGGCACTTTTGCGGAGGGGAATTTCCGTAAGGCGCTTAGCCACACATACCCCTATACCCTGGCAGGAAATCTCATTGGATTCAAGGGTTATCAACCATTTCCGTTTTCTTTTGTTTTTAAAAATATGAGGGCAGGGTACGCGGTTGTCTACACTGCTGGGGGGTTGGATGGCCGAATGGTTAGCACGCGCGCGCTGTATCATACGGTCTGTCATTGAGTCAACTGGCGGGGTTTCGATTCCCCGGTTGTACGTGACAAGGAGTAGGGTCGCCTGTCCAACCTCGTGGGTTTTCTCCGGGTCCTCCGGTTTCCTCCCACTGGTAAAGACCCCTATGCGCAAGCGAATTATTGAAATAAAAATTAAACCATGTGTTAGTCCCGAAATGACCTAGTTTGTGTCGAGTGGACGTTAAACCCCATCTCTCTCTCTCTCTCTCTCTCTCTCTCCTCTCTCTAGATCCGATTTTAAGAGGATTTAGATCTTCGGTAATCGATGCCTGACTTCTCGTTTTATTGCCTTAGTCAGGTTAACCAGCAACAGAGGCGATTACCGAGAGCAACCAAGCAACCCGATAGGGGAGAGTCACTTCCTTTACGGAGCTCTGCGGGCAACAACAAAGCCATAGGCGTGCATTCCTTTGTTTTTATTCATTCTCTACTTAATAAAATATATATGGTAATATTTGGACTTTTTCTATTTTTCTCGTGTCTCTTACCCAGTGACAGTCAATTCTTTTTATGACTTTTTCTATTATTTATTTTTTGTTTTCTCGTGAAAGTCAATTCTTGTTATAAAGTATTGTCAGATATCATCTCACAGTCTCTTCTAAGGAATTATTAGTGATAGTGAGCTAAAATTCGATCGTTTATCTGTTATCCCTCGTTACTTCAGAAGGATAGCTCGTCTTTTCGACACTTCCCGTTTCTTGAAATCTTCATAACACATCTATCATGGCCAGTGATTTCTGTGTTAAAATTATATTTGGAATGTGTTTAACCAGTTCTATCACATGTGTGATAATGGCTGACACCAACGTTGTCCTTTAATATTCATATCTAGCCATAGCACCGATAGATTCATATGTCCAGATATCTTACAAGTAAAAGGGTTATGTTCCCTGACCAAGATATATAAAAGAATAATTATTCTAATAATTAATCTTTCAGAGAAGGAAAATGAATCAGTCCCTCCACAGCAAGACTCTGCACAGCAAGTATTACCCCCGGCGCAATATATCCCGCCACTAGGATATCCCTCGCAACCAGGAAATCCCCCTCAGCAAGGATATACCCAACAAGGATATCCCCCTCAGCAAGGATATGCACCACAACAAGGAAATCCCCCTCAACAAGGATATGCCCAACAAGCATATCCCCCTCAGCAAGGATATGCACCACAACAAGGATATGCTCCACAACAAGGATATGCTCCTCAGCAAGGATATGCACCACAACAAAGTTATTCCCAGAGGCAATACCCAGCCGGCGGCAATGTAATTGTAAGTAACACTTCATGTGTAATGAAGCGCTATATAAATCGAACAATAATAATAATAATAATAATAATAAGTATGCATTTTATCTTAATGCTACTTTCACTAGACTGTAGCAATTTTGTTGGTTTTTAATTTATCCCTAGACTGTTGTCATGTCATCTACTTTCATTTTGTATTGTTTTTTTAATTAATCACCAGACTGTATAGTCACCTCATCTACGTTCGTTTTGTTGGGTTTTAATTTATCACTAGACTGTCTAGTCATCTCATCTACTTTCATTTTGTTGGTTTTCGATTTATCACCAGACTGTAGTCATTTCATCTACTTTCATTCTTTGGGTATGTATGTATCACTAGCTTATAGTCATTTCATCTACTTTCATTTTGTTGGTTTTTAATTCATTATCAGACTGTAGTCATTTCATCTACTTTCATTTTTTTAGCGGGGGTGGGGGGTGTGTGTGTGGGGGGGGGGGGAGGGGGTAATGTATCACTAGACTATAGTCATTTCATCTACTTTCAATTTTTTGGCTTTTAATTTATCACTTATCACTAGACTGTAGCCATTTCATCTACTTTCATTTGGTTGTTTTTCGATTTATCTCCCGACTGTAGTCATTTCATTATACCCCTCGTGTATCTAGGTATTATTATTATTATTATTAACATTTATAGAGCGCTATCTTCCACAAAACGTGTTCAGATGCGCTGTACAACACAATTTAATAAAATATGTAATAAAAATAAATATACATACAGGAAAACTAAATACAACTATAGAAGTAAAACATAACATGGTAACGCAGAATAAAATCTCATATCACAAATAGGTTTTTAAAAAAAAATTATAAGTTAAAAGCTTTCTTAAACAAAAATGTTTTAAGAAGTGACTTAAAAGAGATTAAATTTGTGCAGCATCTTATATTAAAAGGTAAAGAATTACATAATTCCGGTGCCTGGACGGTAAAAGATCGATCTCCAAAAGATAAAAGTCTTGCTGATTTATTTACAAGTAAAAAATGATCAGATGAAGAGCGCAGAGTGCGACTCGGTGTGTACATTTCTAAAAGTGAAGATAAATAAGAAGGGGACACATCATTCATACATTTAAATGTTAAAAGGAGAATTTTAAATTCAATTCTAAAAATAATCGGTAACCAATGGAGTTTCTGTAAAATAGGAGTAATATGGTCATTATAATTACTTCCGGTGATGAGCCTTGCTGCTAAATTTTGAACTTTTTGTAATTTGTTAGTGATGCGTAAAAGAGTACCAATCAGTAAAGAGTTACATTGATCTAGACGAGAGGTGATGAGAGAATGGACAAGAGTTTTAACAGATGAAGTGGGGAGATTCTTACACTATAACAAATATCATTGCACCCCTCCAGTATTTTGGTACATAATTCGCTTGCGCGTAGGGGTCTTTAGCAGTGGGAGGAAACCGGAGGACCCGGAGAAACCCCACGAGGTTGGACAGGCGACCCTACTCCTTGTCACGTACAACCGGGGATTCGAAACCACGCCAGTCGACTCAATGACAGACTTTATGATACAGCGCGCGCACGCTAACCATTCAGCCATCCAACCCCCTTATTCAAGAAACACAGATAAATAATTTACGAAACTTAATAATTTTTTTGGTTTGTTCTTACAGGTTACTCAGCCCCAAAACACTATGATCGCCGTACACAAACCACCAGATTATCTGGTATTCTCCATCATAGTATGTGTGATCTGTTTCTGGCCAATTGGAATCGCATCAATAATTCATTCGGTCAAGGTAGGTAGTAAAACGGGGTTTAACGACCATTTGAGTAATTTATTATTTAAATTTGAACCGAGTATGTTCACGTGTAACACGATACACTTTTCTTACCAAAGAGTTGTATATGCCCCCTTCAATCACTGTAGCACCATGGGTCTTTGTCAGATATGGGGAGCGGGCATAACTCAAAACCGGTCGCCACATCCTACGTATGACCCATGCATCTTTTCTCACTACATATTGTAATAGCCTTACCAGAAATAACAATGCAATAGTTCGTTTTTACATTTTAAATATCAATCTGCTTACATATGGTACAAAGCATAGTAGATTACAATAAAGGCATTCCCTCAAACCCCATCCAACTAGATAGATATTGCTACATCTTTTCCTTCTAGAATTCAGCTGCTGTCTGACGAATGCTCAGAAATATGATGGTCTTTTAGCTTTGGGTTTTGGACCTTCAATTATCTAATTGGTCAAACATGACGTAATTAATTATAACGATTGTTTAATTAGCCCAATGACGTCGAAAACCACCCTTATATGGATAGTCGAATCTTACAGTAGACATTTCACAGTTATATCTGTTATCAACCTAGAAATGAATGATTACCAAATTATAACTCTTTTTATGTATCAACTTATCAATCATTCACTCGTGTTGATTTAAGTGCATATGAGACAATATTAATGACTTTTATACAATGTGTGAATCTAATAATTAGCCAAAGATATTAATTAAAGTTACAATTTCATATTTTCTAAGAAAGTCAAAACAAAATTATTTCTATGTCTGTTGCTCAATAGGTTGTCAACTCACTATTATACGATCATAGGTGTCATTCTCACACTTAAAACTCATTTAGACCGGAAATAATAACACAATTACCTCCCTTGTTTTCTATTCTCCACTATGGAGTAGCTATCCCCAAACGTTTGAATTTGAAGAGGAAAATGATATTTTTGCCAATTTTTCAACGGGCAATAGCGAATTATAGGATTAATAGGATTATTCTTTAACAAGGTAGGACTACTATAGATACCATCTATTTTAAGGCTTTATTTTAATAAATTTTAAAAATATAAGGTAAAAATATGAAATTGCAACTTTAATACAATGCTACTAATTTAAAGAGCAAAAATTGTAGAAACTTTGCTACTTTACATTTCCAGATATCTTTATCATAAACCTCACGGACACCATTATTTAACATAAACCTCGCGGACACCATTATTTAACATAAAACTCGCGGACACTATACTTTTTCAGATGATTCATAGACCATAGTTGGCTCTGGCGTGCGTGTGTTGCATTCTTGCAAAATTCTTAATAAATAACATGAATTCACATTACGTTATACCATCAAATGTTCACCCAAAGACCAGGAAATGGTATTTCAAGGACTCTAGATTACAAAATTTCGCAATTTTGCTAGAAAAACCAATCCCCACACACACAAAATACATGCTTTCTATAACTTTATTACAGTCACGTGATGCCTATAGGATTGGAGATGTGAACACTGCTCGAGCTAAAGGATCAACAGCTCGTACTTTAAACGTTATTGGAGTGGTAGTTGGTATTGCATGGATATCATTAACTGTGGTTATCAGATTTGTCTTGGAATTTGTTGTCCACAGTAACCTACGACAGTAAAGCCTAATCATTTATTTATCTCGATGATAACGAGAGAGAGAGAGAGAGAGAGAGAGAGAGATGGGGTTTAACGTCCACTCAACACAAACTAGGTCTTTTCGGGACTAACATATGGCTCAATTTTATTTCATTAATTCGCTCGCGCGTAGGGGTCTTTAACAGTTGGAGGAAACCGGAGGACCCGGAGAAAAGCCACGAGGTTGAACAGGCGACCCTACTCCTAGTCACGTGCTACCAGGAAATCGAAATCACGCCAGTGGACTCAATGACAGACCTTATGATACAGAGCGCACGTGCTAACCATTCCGCCATTCACCCCGCACCCGTCTCGAACATAACAATGGGGTTGAATACGACATAAACGATAATATTACAATATATATTTAAACTTTGAATGGAAATCCGTTCATATACTGTACATTCATATTATATTAAATGTGCTCATCGAAGCCTTGTTGGAGGGTGAGCTCCTTTAAAAAACATTTCAATATATCTGACCTCTAACCTTTGCACATGTGATGCATGCATTGTGAATCGTGAATATGGTCACTTTGATTATCTCTCTCTCTCTCTCTCTCTCTCTCCTATGATAAATTTTTGTACATGGATGTAAAAAGAGAGAGGGGTTATATTTAGACAGAGTCAGATATCTCATGAATATGATGGAGCAACGGGAACATCGATCCAACAACGATTCATTTCTGTTTAGTATTTATTTGAAATTGAATTTCATCAATCTATGCTACTCGCTATGCAATAAACCCATCGCCATTTTGTTGTCCGCGACAATTGGTATTGTGATTTTGTTTTCTTAATGAAGTGTTAAAAAATCAATTTGATATTTTAGCAAAAAAATTGTAAATGGCGGATGGGGACATAATCTCAATCAGGGAATTATGGTGGCTGGAATCGTTCATTTGGATCGTCGTGTTTCTAGATTCCAAGCGAGAGTCGCTGTTAAGCCACCACGACGATAAAGGCGACGCTCGGCAACTCTTTCGTCCAGATGGCTTAAGGACGACCCTTGACTTTCACGATATCGGCTACCTATTCGTCGCTCTGGCTTAACGGCGACTCTCGTCTCGGATGTTGAAAGTTTCATACGAAATATGATCTGTGTTTTAATTAGATTGAATGTTTATTATCTCACGTATATATTTTTACAATGTTTGTTAATTTTTGTATAACACAAATAACATGAATGTATTTTATTAATTATTAATGATTTGAATTTATATTAGTCAACTGTGATAAACGTGACGGGGAAGTCGATATTGACTGGACGCTGCTGATATTTTATGTATATTTATTAAACATAGTTATGTTATTGTATGGATTGTGTGCCACTTTAATAAACAGTTACTACGCTTTAATAAACAATTACTAAACTTTATTTATTAACGATACATTATAGGAGATTAGATAAGGAGCCGACAGTTCTGTCTATAATAGTTAAAAACTAGATAATGTAAAGGGGATTTGCTGAACATTTCAGTCAAATTTGGCGATTGAATTTTTGGTCTAGCCTCGATCATCATTACTAAAGTCGGTACGATAAAAAAAAATAGTCTCGATCATCCACTTTTTGATTTAATCATAAATGAGCGTTGAACAGCAGATCGGATTATAATCTAGTAAATATCACAAGCTAGCGATGGCATCGATAGTTGATTATGGTCTTGATAAGTTAATTAATGTCTAATTAATAATTTGGATAACATTTCAGGCCTAAAGAACTGCATTTGGCAGATTTAGCTCTTACGTAATATATGCTTAATGTTTAGCGTTTTCCGAAAATCTATCCAAATTATTGAACTTATTATTGGTAAATTTGTTGACGTTCTAACCCCTGACGTCATCAACTGACAGACTATCGCCGTTCAGAAGACCATAGACTTGTGAGGAGACGACCACTATCAAGACCAGTGACATTATTTCTATTTCGTGTTACTTGTAAATCATTATTGGTTTTGTGTAGTTTGTCTTGTCCGCAGATTTGTCTTCTGATTACTTTTGTTTTTGTGTAATGTGGTTCTCCTGCACTTACTGTATACATTTGAGAGACTTTATTTTAAACTATAATAATCTTTCACTAATATATCGACGCAACTGATTATTTAAAAATAAGATAAGACGTTTTGCGGGAACCGACGTTATAGGTAGTAGTAAGAAATGAAATGAAATGGGGTTTTACGCCCTACTGTTATGCCCCGACTGTCAAAATATGGGTCTGGGTACATTGCTCTTTTCAAATAAGTAAATAATTTAATGGCATATCCAAATTTACTTACCATAAAAACGAAGATAGTCGGGCGGTACGAAACTCTTTCAAATGACGGGGTAAGAGGTATTCAATGTCAAATATGTAAATGATATTCTGGCACATTCAAATAAATTTACCTTAGACAAAAACGATCAAAGTTGGGTGATACTAAACTCTTTCACGGGAGGAAGTAGTCAATGTCAAAATACGGGCCTTAATACGAAATTCTAGATATGTCTTGTTACATACCACTGATAAGTACGTCCATCGTTCTTTTCAAATATGTAAATAATTGTCTGGCACATTTATATTTATTAACCTTAAAAAGTTGGATGGTACTAAAATCTATTATTATGATTTTGGAGGGGGTAGGGATATTCATCAATGTTAAAATACGACTCTTGATACGAAATTCCAGACATAATTTTACATATCACTGAAAATCATATTCATTGCTCTTGTAAAATATGTAAATAATTTTCTGGTACATTTATATTTACACATACCTTGAAAAAATGATTCACGGAGAATGGAAAGGGTGTGTGTGTGTGGGGGGGGGGGGTAGTTGAAGTAAAAATGCGGAGGCTAATCCAAAATTCCGTAATGAAAAGTCAATCCTTCCTTTAAATATATTCATTATTGTTTAGGCACAAATGCATATATAATGTTTAGTTGCCCTACAGCTGAATTAAAGGTTGGTGGGGTGGGGCGAGGGTTTAATGGCAAAATATGGGTCTTAATACGAAATTTCAGTTAGTGTGTCATACATCACCAGAAAGTAAGTTTTTAGGGCTCTTTGAATCTACTTGTTACTTCCTGGCACATTCATGATTACATACTTTAGAGGAGATAAAACTCTTTTTATTTTGGGCAAAGAAATGTCTCGACATGAGACAGTAACCTAGTTACTAAAAATAGACTACTTTCAATTTATTTTATTTATCGAAGGCTCGGGTCCACTGACACAAACTAGGTCATTTCAGGATTAACATATGGTTCAATTTTATTTCAATAATTCGCTTACGCGTAGAGGTCTTTAGTAGTGGAAGGAAACTGGAGTAAACCC